GTGCTTTTAGGAGAAATGCTTGGGTGGATTGTTTATCCCTTAGACTCTGCTCTCAGCACTTTAATTTATGTGGGATAAACGACATAGGAGGAGAAACTCTGTAACATACAGCCTCAGTGCTTCAGTGATTAGATTGAAGGGGGAACAGGAGTCCCTTTTCCTTTCTCCTAATGAAGCTTCTCACTGGCTTAGCAAGAACACAGGCCTCTTGCGGTTCACCGAGTGTAGCTGTGAGCTGCAGAACATCATTTCAATTAGGGTTACACAGAGCCAAACTAATCAGCCTTTCAGTCCTTTGATTGCTGTCTCTTTTTGCTCTCCTTTTGAGGCAGGTGCAGTGACAATAAATCCAGAGCAGGAAAAACGAATTTGAAACTGTAGCAGTTTCATAAATAAGATAAAGGGAAGAAATAATCTTAGAACCACTGGCCCAAGCAAACTTACTCCTACTGCCTCATTCCACTGTTGGCTTCTGTTTCATGCAAGACCTTAGTCAGACTGGCCAGGAAAATGTCTTTGTCCCAGAACAGTGTGTCTGTTCTCATCTGGTGCTGATTGGAAGGAGGGTTTTCTCCAGAAGGAACTAAAAAGACTTATATTGGTGTGTGAAAACATCATGTAAATCATGCAATTAATTAGAATGGTAGAACCAATTAATTTTTCAGTTTGCTAACCCATTACAATTTTGAAAAATGATTTAGAAAAATTCCTCTCCCCTTCAATCACTGAAAGAATATTTTCAGTAAATTTTTAAAATGTTCTGGAACAGTAATTTGAGATTTTCTTGGCAAAACAGGAAAGAAAAATTTGATCTAATGAAGCAGTTGATAGATTCAAGCTGGGTGCAGCACAACAGTAAAGTGTAGTGTAATTTCACATGAAAACTGAAATGTTCTGTTTTAAAAATGAACAAAATAATCATTCCAAGGTTTTGCTGGAATGATTTTATCAATTTGACACAAATTTAAAGGAGCTTTGATCAAATCGTTTCCAGTAAATAGTATGCATGTTTGGCAAATGTTAGCATATTCTCTGCGTAGTGCTCTGCCAAGGAAACCAGAGTCTGCTGTTCAGCTCTTTCTGTGTCATCAAGAGCTCCGGTTATGAAAACATCAGTCCCCTCAATTCATCCGTGCAGCTCTGATTAACAGCGCTATGGGTTCTCATTTGAATTGAGGGCAGCATTGGAAATTGCAGGCTATTCAAGCACAGACAAGCAAATCAGAAGCCAAAGACAGGTGACATGGAATTAAAAGAGTGAGATGAGGTGTAATGATGGAAACACAGGGCAGTTGCTGGTATTGAGCTTTTCAGAAAGCTGCACTAGCAACATCTGCTGTTTCTCCTTCTTCTACCCCGAGCCATTCCTCCTCAGCCCCATTTTGCTACAGTCTGTTATCAAGAAAGCAAAAGGCGGCTTTTTTGCCTGTCTGCTTTGAACTCAGCGTGCCATCTCCCATCCACATCCTGACCTTGCAGTTGTGCGAAATACCTGCAGATTCCTCATGCTGGGATTTGTACCTTCAACTCCAGAAAGAGAATGATTACAACCCTGCAGTCTGAATCCCTCCTTAACTCAAGTGTGGTGGCCAGATTCAATCTCACCTGTCAATTTTGTTTAGATAGGTTGTTGCTTCTCTCCAGACTTGGAGCAGTTAGTATTTCTGTTTCTTTTTAAGCAGCTCTTTGTGATCTAATTTGTTTGTGAGTGCATATGCGATTCTAGTAGATACCACGTGGAATCTACTCTGCATGTGTGTGCAGCCTGACCCTCTGTGCCATTCACTCCCCTCCACTGCATGTTCCCTGCAAAAATGCTCTTTAAGTTTAAAGGTGACGTTCCTACTCCCTCTGGTGTGCCTGGCTGCATGAATGGCAGGTAGAACCAGATCTGTCTGTGTAGGGGGTATCTGGTGCTGCCTATTCCAGTCCAGTATACAATGAAACGGGTGCTATACACATACCCTACAC